TAATCTATTTGTTTGTTTTTCTTTCTAATTCACTAGGCGTAACAGTACCCATATGAGTGAAGCCCAGCGGAGTGCTCTCAATGCACTATTATTTCGAACTGGTGACCAATCAAGGGACATCGTTCTTGTCCTTGCAACCAACCGACCGGGTGATCTTGATGCTGCTATTACTGACCGAATTGATGAAGTTATCGAGTTTCCCCTACCTGGGGAAGAGGAGCGGTTTCAGCTGCTCAAGTTATACTTGAACAACTACATGCCCAAGGAAGATGACAAGCGTTCTCCTTGGAGCACACTGCTGAAGAAGCAGCCGAAGAAGATACACGTACGGGACATAAGTGATGATCTCCTGAGGGATGCTGCGCGCAAGATTGATGGCTTCTCCGGCAGAGAGATTGCGAAGCTGATGGCCAGTGTGCAGGCTGCTGTCTACGGGAGTCCTGACTGCATATTGAATCCGCAGCTGTTCCGCGAGGTGGTTGAGTACAAGATCGGCGAGCACCAGCAGCGCATGAAGCTTGCTTCGGAGGCTGCAGCTTGAGCGGTGTTGTAGATTTATCTGGGGGTGGCATTATTCCTGATTGATTGAGGCATGGCACTGAGATATCATCTCCTCCCACCTACTTCTGATAGCAGCTATGGTTTCGAATTACAGTAGAGACAGAAAATCTTGTGTGTCACGGGTTGGTTCTGTCAATTTTGTTCGATGCGTGCTTACCTGTGGCGAACTTAGGTAGAGCATGTCCTTCAGGCCTTCTAACCTCGTCTAGGTTTCTTACCTGTTCAGGCGGCCTTGGTAATAATCTGTACGCTTGTTTTACACACGCTATTCAAGATGTGGGGATAATGTTTCGGTGCTAATTGTCAAAATTGCGCAGTTGAACTGCGATGCCGTTTCTCTTCTCTGGGGTTTATCTTGTTTTGAAGGTGTCTCCAGTTCATTAGTCTCTTTAATCAGAAACTAACTCGATGACGCCCACGTCAACTCAGTACCCAGACTTCTCCTGCCCAAGATTTACGGTGGGTAAACCCGTGTGTGATCAACATGTAATTGCGTTTGAAACGGCTGTATGGAACTGACAAGGAAATGAAAGCTACGGGGAGGGGTACAGAAGACACAAGAGTGCCACCGGAGCATGGTCCCCCAGCATCAGCCATCAATCATCTTCACGTAATAAATGATGTAGTTTCCGTTTCCGGTCTCATCTTCCCACCTCCAGGTACATACCCCCATTGTTCTTCTTCCCCTCCAGCAACAGCGCACAAGAACTAGTCTTCCGTAAATCTCATCTGTAACCCAACCATCAAGGCCGAACTATAGCCAAGTACAGCGCGCCTGTAGATCTCGTGGTGGTATTGAAGTTCCACCAGTCACTGTCGTGGCGCAAGGCACGACCTGCTTAACCTCCCCCTACGACACCATGCCTTGCCACCATATCAATTTTCTGTAGGTTCCAGAGCCGCATCACCCAGCATTCATGCGGGAATTCAGCCCTCGACCAATCGTTTTCCCTTCCAAAATACGCTTTTTCTTCTTCTTCTTCTGAAATGTCCGAAAGACGCTTGCAAAACGCAAGAAACTCCCCTTTCATCAGGACTATGGGGGAGGCAGAGGTACAGCCCAGCATATGCATCATCATCACGCTGGCGACCGCACCCACAGAACAAAAAACAAACCACGGGATGAAATGTCATTGCCGGAATCGCACCAAATCGCAGGGCTGGATGGGCTTGTGATGCAAGCCTTCAATTTTGCCGACAATGTACATATCATCATTCACTTTGCGCTGCCATCCACCCAACACGCACACACTCACACTCACTCAAAACGCAGGCCGGCCCGGTCTCGCCCCCCCTTTGATCAGCCTCTGACACGCACAGTCCGCTCTCACATGCGCCTGCTGCCTTCTGGCCAAAGTCCAACAACTTGACACCACCACCACCGGAAATCAGGAAGGGGAGAGGAGGGGAGAGGGAGACGAGAAGAACGAAAGAAAAAGAAAGAAAAAACACGAGAGCTTTGGCAGGAGGCCATCCATGGAAGCAGCAGCCAGCAGCAGCTCAAACAAATTTGCCCCCCAGAAAGGCTGCCGAGACAACTTAGGAAAGGGGGTTAGCGGCGGGGCCACCCAATCAAGGGCAGAAAGCTGGGGCAGCAGGGGCTTAGGAGCCCTCCTGTAATGACCCCCTCCTTAATTGTACTTTGCACACCAAATGACAAACCCCCACGCCTAAGTACATTCCGAGCCAGCCAGCACAGGGCCCCTCCCTCGCCCCGATGCATGCAGCGGCAACGCACACACCACAACACAATGCCCCTCTGCCAAAGGGACTCGGCTCCCTGACGTACTGCAGGGTGCAGTTGGGCCACTGACAGGTGGGCCGGCAACGCACACACCACAACACAATGCCCCTCTGCCAAAGGGAATCCAACAAGCCCCAAAAGCAAAGTCAAAAAGCAACGAGTGCCTTCCCAAGCCAAGACGGGCGCGTGCATTGGCATTTGGCAATGGCACTGCCGCTGCAATTGCATCAAGAAATGCCGCTGCCACTGCAAGCCTGCAGCTGCGTACGTACATACAAGCGAGCACGGGCACGCATGCGCTACAGCGCTGGCAGAGAGAGAGAGAGAGGCCCTAAAATCTTCAATGTGGGAGTAGGATCTAAGCAAGAAGCAGTTGGCTCTCACCGTGCTAACCTAGCCATTGTTATTTATCCATGAGACGAGAGCAATGAGCGAGAGGAAGAAGGAAGGAGTGAATGCATGCATGCCGCCTCAGGGTTCAAGGCTGCCTCATCTCACATTACTGGTCTGGTCTACTCCCTCCTAAGTGACTGCCGACGCACGAGTTAACACCTGACGACGATGAGGTTACGGGAATTACACGGGACAAATGATAAAAATGCTGCTAATGGCTAATGCATCCTCTAGCGTTGTGCTGCTGCTGCTGCCCGCTCGCTCGCTCATGCGCCGTGCTGCTGCTGCTGCTGCTGCTGATGGTGGGGCGGCGGCGCGGGGTGGTGCTGGTGCTGGTGCTGGTGCTGGTGCTGGTGGGGAGGAGGAGGACTGGGGTCGTGGTGGAGCGGCGGCAGCGGCGGCGGGGACGTGGCCGAGGTCTTGGCGAGGTGCTTGTTGTTGTGCATCCACACCTTGAGGACGCGGCGGGGCACGCCGACCTGCGCGCAGAAGGCGTCCACCACGCCGCCGTCGGGCTTCTGCACGCGCCAGCCCACGCGGTGCGCGAACTCCAGCATGCGCTCCTTCTGCTCCGGCGTGAACTTGGTCCGGAACCGCTTCTTGCTCGGCGCCGGGGGCGCGGAGGCCGACCCGCCCGCGGCCGCCTGCGCCTGCGCCTGCGGCGGAGGGGGCGGCGGCGGCGGGGCGCGCAGCTCCTCGCTCGACGACTCGGCCAGCGCGGCGGGCGCGGACATCGGGGACGCCGGGACGTGCGGGCGCTTCTGCTGCATGTGCGGCGGGGCGAGGAGGAGCGGCATGAGCCGGGAGTTGGCGCCGGCCGGGGTCGCGGAGGGGGACACCACGGCGGAGGCGGGGGACGGAGAGGGCGAGGGGAGCAGCACCACCGGCTCGCGGCGGTGGAAGCTGCGGTGGCAGCCGCACGCGGCGCAGGCCAGCGCGGCGGGCCCGTCGCCCGGGGACGGCATGAACTCGCCGCAGCCGTCGAGCACGTGCGCGCCCATCCGCGCGGCGTGGTTCCGCAGGCACTCCCTGTACCTCCACGGCAGGGGCTCCGGGCCCGAGGCGCCACCGTGCTCGCCCGGCGCCCTTGTGGCGCCGCCGGTCACGATGGCAAGCGTAGGCGGCGGGGGAGGCATGGTGCCACCGCCAAGCACGCCATTCCTCGCCGGCTCCTGATGGCGCTGCTGGTGCTGCGGCTGCGGCTGCTGCTGCTGCTGACGGTGGGCCTCCCCAGGCGCCTCCACCGTCCTCTCCCGCTCCCTCTCGCGGTCCACCCTTCTCCGGTGGGGATGCTGGTGCTGGGGCTGGAGGAAGCCGGGCGGCGCCTGCGGTGGCGGCGGCGAGGAGACGAGGGAGGAGTTGGGAGGCAGGAGGGGCCTGGAGAAAGCCGCGGCCTCCATCAAGGAGGAGGGCGAGGAGGCAGCCGCGGCAGGCGAGCCAAGAACCTGCGGAGCCTGGCCCTGCATGTGCAGGTGCTGCGGGGGCGCGGCCGCGGCCGGCGCCATGGTGTAGTGGTGGCGATGATGGTGCGGGTGCTGGTGCTGGTGCTGGTGCCGACGGTCCCGCATCGCCCCCTCCTCGTCCTCCTCCTCCTCCTCATCGTCCTCCTCTTCCTCTTCCTCCTCCTCCAGCTCCTCGTCCTCCTCCACATGCGATGACCTCTTGTACTCCATGGGCGTCTCCCGTCTCCGGCCTCGCCGGAGCTAGCTAGCTAGCCCGCCCGCGTTCTCGCCGGTGCGATTAGGACAGGACGGGCCGGAGATTCTTCTCTTTCCTGTGGCGTGTTCTTGGGCGGTGGGGTTGTTGGGGCGTGCTGTGTTGCGACTTGTTCTAACTTCTAAGTGGGAACCTTATAGTCGTGGCTAGGTTTGTGGTGGAGCTGGGAGGGAGGGGGGTGTTGGCCTCAAGGGGGAAAGAGGGGAGCTTAACGGAGGCGGGCGGGAGGGATACACCGGAACACTCCTAGAGGGTGGTATGGCATGGCTGGTTAGCGATGGTTATTAAGGACGTACGGTGGCAGTAACCACATGGCATCCATAAAGCGGGGAATGTCTCCTTGGGAGAGAGCTAGCTATCCTATCTATCTATCTATCTGCATCTCTCTCTCTCACTAGGCCATCTTATCTACCCGGGCTTCTCAAAAGAAAGAAACGGAGGGGGGGCGAGCAGGGCCAGGGCAAAGGCGAGGTGACGGCAGAGAGAAAGTGGCCGCTGCTGGGGGTGCGGCTTGCTTGAACCAGTCCACTCTCGTGGTCGTGGTGGTACTACGCCAGCACTGTGCACTCCACGGAGTGGTTTTTAGAGAGAGGTTTGGACGGGAGGAAGAAGCCCATGCCCATGCCCTGCCCTGCCCTGCCACCACCGACAGGGGCCATGTTTCACCACCTCGCTCTCGCTCCCACGGGAAGACTGCAGCACCATGGATGATGGCATTGCCATTGCCATTGCTACCGGCACCTCTCCTTCGAACCCAAAACCCAAACCCTGATCAAACCCGCCATTGCTGCCGTGTTCTCTCTCTGTGCGTGCATGGCGTGCCCTAGCTAGAAGCTAGCTAGCTTCCTTAATGGCGCCCCGCTCCAGTTCTCGCCCTGCAGCGAGTGACCTACCGATCAGGCACCGCAATAACTGCAAGCGCCGTGGCGTATTTGCTTGCCCCATTGACCCCAAGTACGCCCATGTATCCCCACCCACGCCCATCTCTTGCGCTGCGTGGTGCGGCAAATATCACATAACTGATCTGTGATCGGAACTATTTCACAAAGTGAACCGTGTTTGAAAAAAATTCAGACCATTTTCTACAGTGCCCGACAGTCAGGCGCCACACTGCACTGTGCACCGTC